TACAGTGGGGTCTTGACTTGAGAACTTAATCCGTATTGGAAGGCGGTTCTCAAGTCAAAAAGTCTGTAAGTCAAGTCTCCATTGACCTACAGTGCATTGAAAACCGATTAATCCCGTAACAGGCCGTTTTTGTTCCATTTTGGTTTTTTTCTGGTCTGTAAGTCAAATCTCAGTCTGCAAGTCAAACCTAAATGTTGCGGCCAGAGAATTCTGTAACTCAAAAAGTCTGTAAGTCAAGCCGTCTGTAAGTCAAGGGTCAACTGTATTGACAATTTTCATCACCCACTTGGCCCTCCCTCCTCTGGTAATTTTTATAAATCAAGACAGACACCAGGTCAACAAACATGTGTTTGACCTCACACTACAACCAACTCACCCACATACTCAAGTAATGCAAAATTAAGCCCCTCCATCAACTATCTCACCTATATTTGTTTTCAGGCTGGAACTCAAAGCAAAGCACATGCCAGTAGCTTTATACACAAAGCACTTTGCAAATAGCTGACGCTGCTTGCTCTGTTGGACACTCTTTCTGCCCTCAAGTGTAAGGAGCACCACCTCCTTAGCAAAGAAGCTGAACTGACCACAATATATAAAATTAAGTTCGCTATATTTATTTGTATTTATATAAACTGATTCATTTTAAAAAATCTAATTTATGTATATATGTTTTACATTTAATATACATTTATTATAATTATACTTCAAAATGTCTTATATTTTTCTTGTTATGTGCCATCAGTTAATAATAACATCCAAACTAGTGAAATCAGAATGGTAACAATATAGCTATCTCATTCTTGTTGTTAAGTGCCATCAAGTCACCTTTGAATGACAACCCCAATATGTCCTGTCCTCACAGTTTTGCTCAACTCTCGCAAACTCAAGCTTGTTGCTTCCTTTATGTGTAGCCTTCATAATTAACTTGTAAACCACCCAGAGAGTGCTTTAAACACTATGGGGCACTATATAAGCAGCATGCTTTGATTTTTCTTTGGCTTTATGGAGTCAATTACAGATGGGCACAACCCAGTTTATGCTAGTTTGTCCTTCGTACAAATAGGTATTTGGTGCTTCCCAGCCCCACCTACTCTGGTGGACGCTCACTCAGAGACAGCAACTGGAGGAGACAGGCAGGGAAGTCCAGGCATTGGCTCGAAGTGGGTACCTGCCGGAGGAGGTGGGGTTAAGAACCACCAAATTCCAGTTCATCTAAGGATGCACCCAGCATGAACTTCCAAACCAATGGTTTGTGCCCATCTCTACAGTCCATCCATCTTGGATTTGGTCTTCCTCTTCTGCTGCCTCCCATCTTTTGCTTTTTGATGTGTCTTGTGTGCTTTTTTGCTTTGTCCTCTTTTCATTTCTGATCTGCTCCGTTTGTTTTTGCAATGATTCTTGCATGCTTCCCTTGCTTTTTGCATTTCTGATGTGCTCCATTTGTTTACTGTGCATTTGCAATGGTTCCTGCATTCTTCCTTTGCTTTTTGCTTTGCCTCTCTCTCTCTCTCTCTCCCTGTGCTGAGGGGGTCTGTTTGCTGGAATAATGGTTGCTGGTTGTTGGTGCAGGCAGGCTCTAAAATGCAGTTTAGCCTCCACAGTCTTTTTTCCTTAAAATCAGAAAATATTCTGTGAGGGGCTGTGCTGGCTGGTTTGCTCTAAAATGCAGTTTAGACGCAAGTCTCCCGTCCCCATCGTCTTTTCTCTCTCTCTGCTCTCTTTTTGTGGTGAGGGGGTCTGTTTGCTGGAATAATGGTTGCTGGTTGTTGGTGCAGGCAGGCGGGCTCTAAAATGCAGTTTAGACTCCACAGTCTTTTTTCCCCTTAAAATCAGAAAATATTCCGTGAGGGGCTGTGCTGGCTGGTTTGCTCTAAAATGCA